TAGCTCTAACGATACCAGCAATCCCGTCGCACAATGCGCCCATAGCTCTAACGATACCAGCAATCCCGTCGCACAATGCGCCCATAGCTCTAACGATACCAGCAATCCCGTCGCACAATGCGCCCATAACTCTAACGATACCAGCAATCCCGTCGCACAATGCGCCCATAACTCTAACGATACCAGCAATCCCGTCGCACAATACGCCCATAACTCTAACGATACCAGCAATCCCGTCGCACAATGCGCCCATAGCTCTTAGGATACGTATTTTTGTTAGAAGTAGTACGTAGAACAAATAACGTAGATCCTGGTCTGCTGGCACATTTCTCGACGGCACAACAAAGTCTATGTCATCTGCAGTTGGAGCAGACTTACAAGCAAGTACAGGCATGTAACACTGTTATAAATATTGGTTCAGTGCTAATTAACAAATATTTTAGGTGCATCATGAAAAGATACAAGCATATCATTTCTTTGAAAGAACAAAGCTACTATAGTGGTCACCTCTATCCAGCATTCACCTGTTAGTAAAGGTCATTTAAAAACAAACTAGTTAACTTGTATCAGTATCAAGTGAACTTATAAGGGCTGCAGGTGTTTCTAATAGTTCAAAGTATCACTTCATTCCGGTTTTGACTTTACTATATACAAGATGCACCATAGTTACACGCTTATAAGTCGTCTCCAACGGCAAACTGCACATACCTATATCTTCCGTCACATAGTGCGAATGCAACTCTAGATCTCTGCAGATTATTAGTCGAACTAACAACACAGACCATGCAAAGCCGGTGCATTATGCGATAACAGATCAGGGTCTACGACTTTGAAGATAGAAGAGACTTATTAGCAAGTATAAATGGTAATGATTCTGCATAACAAACATCTCTGACACGTGACAAATTACAGTACCCATTAGAAGTTTTATGTGCGCCATAATCGATAGAAAACTGCTGCTGAATTCACATATTCATGTACATCAAATGGAAACAAGCTCCGCAAATTGAAGTTTTTCAATTTGTAATAGTTAATTAAATATTTAAATTAAGTTTCAAATTATATAAAACTTACAGTAAATAAAAATGAAGGAGAAGAAATCATGAAGAAAAGATTGAACCCAAGAATCTTGTTGGCCTCCCATCTGATATCCAAATAACACTTACTTAGATCGATTACCATCTATTTATGATATGCCTTGTCGTCCGAATAACTTACTTAGATCGATTACCATCTATTAATGATATGCCTTTTCGCCCATATAACACTTACTTAGATCGATTACCATCTGTTTGTGGTATGTCTTGTCATCTAAATAACACTTACTTAGATCGATTACCATCTATTTATGATATGCCTTGTCGCTCAAATAACACTTAGATCGATTACCATCTATCTAAGATATGCTTTGTCACCCAAATAACACTTAGATCGATTACCATCTATTTATGATATGCCTTGTCAACAAATAACAGTTAGATCGATTACCACTTTTTATGATATGCCTTGTCGCTCAAATAACACTTAGATCGATTACCATCTATCTAAGATATGCTTTGTCACCCAAATAACACTTATATCGATTACCATCTATTTATGATAAGCATTTTTCGTCCAAATAACACTTAGATCGATTACCATCTATCTACGATATGCTTTGTCACCCAAATAACACTTAGATCGATTACTATCTATTTATGATATGCATTGTCGCCCAAATAACACTTAGATCGATTACCATCTATGTGTGATGTCTTGTCGACCAAAGAACACTTAAATGGGCCCCCATCTTTTGTGGGATGGAGATAATATAATTTACTAGTTTGACCGCAAGTTCTTTAAATTAAAGATGGGATTAAAGTATGACCAATAATTATCTCAAAGTATTCGGTTTATGTTTGGGACAGTCTTAAACTTACATGTATAATGCGTCTAATATGACAAGTCATTTAGAAGTAAGTAACAGGTTTATATATTAATAGCTTTAAACCTCATAAGTTTGAACTGAATCTAGTTTAAATCGTTGTCTGTCTCTATTTGGACTGAGTACTGAAGAGGAGGAGGAGGAGGTTTTGAATAGGTCATAATAAGCGTAGTGATATGCTATGTTGAGCCATTGCTGTTATCAAGTTTCAATGTGTTTTGCAACCATAAAATGTAGCACATTACATTTAGCATTTAAATAATAATAATAATAATAATAATAATAATAATAATAATAATAATAATAATAATAATAATAATAATAATAATAATAATAATAATAATGAATTAACAATGCTATTCCTTCAATACATGGACACCAGCACAGCATGTCGGACTATGAGCCTGAGTTCTTATTTCCCTGAAGACAAATGGGATGAAAGATACGTGCATATTATTTCAAAGAGAACCAAAATTCTTCATGAAAGAAAAAAAAAACTTCTGCTAGACAGACATTTCTTAAGTTGAATAAACTAAATTACATAATGGTGGTTCGATTAATTTAATACGTCAGAAATCTTGAGGGATTAAATTTGAATCATCCCGCTTGTATTTTGCATGATGAAATTACATTACAAAACACAATATATAGTGGCATATCACTATTATTTTTTTTTCGTTCTTAAGGATGAAAATTAAATAATATAGAGAAATTTGTATGCAAGGACAAAATAGCTCAAGTAAAGGTTTGGTCCGACTTCTTTTTAACCTGAAACATTTTTATGTCCTTTCCCTCACATGAAAAATAATTTAGAGACAAAATTTGCTGAAATTCTTGAAATTGATGAGAGGATTAAAATGTGTTACGGATACGAAATGAATTGTTGATAGGAGCTGTCAGACATCCCTGTTTCTAAGCGTGCCATTTTACAAGCATAATGCGATTAATGTGCGTCTCAATTACCTACCAGTCATAGTCGCTCAGATAGCTAATGTTTAATCTCATACTATTAGATCAAATATAGTTACAATATGTATCCCTCAACAAGAGTTTATTTTCTAATTTTAAAAATCCCTTCAGTTTCGTTGGCACAACCTGTCACATTTTCAAAAGAGTAATTACGTTCACAGCACGAGATCGCCTGAGTTTTGATTTGGAGGAAAAAACCCTAGCTACGAAATGATAGCAATTAAACTCTCTTGCAATACTAATGGAAGATTAAATACCCGCCCAACAGTGAAAAAGAATGCAAGTCAGAAAGACCTCTCTCACATCGCCTTCCAGCTTTCAAACTCAGTCCTTTTTTACAGCATGGTTCCGTAGGTAACATGACTTGCATGTTTGACATGGTATGCTTTAAGATCTAGAAATGTGTATCGGATTAAAGACGCCCGACTATAAGTCTCAGTCAACGCTGTTGGGGTCGAAGCCGACACTTGGATTCTATGCTTGCCATTTGTAAAATTTGCAAGCACATAATGCGATTAATGCGATGGTTCAGTTATCTACCTTCCACTGAATATTGCATGAATAAACACGTATAAAAATAAGTATTTTTGACAAATGTAGATTTAATCCATGTTAATTTGGTCATTAAAATTCTACTCCTACAACTCTACATCTTTTCATAAGCGCAATCATCTTCGCAGCACGTGATCTCTCTAGATTATAGAAACGAAAAGAAATACCATCGATGTTTAAATACGATAGCAACTACTCGCCACTCGTAATACTAAAAGAAGATACAGATAAACCTCGAGAGAGGAAAGGACATGCTACAGCATTACAGGTTCAAAGGATCCCATAAAACAGTAAAACTTGCATCATAAACTAAAGTTTTGTTCAAAGAAAAACATACATGGAACGAAAAAATAAGCATCGAGCGTTCGTGCAAAGACCGAAAGAGATACATGCATTTGTTTACATTTTGTTTTTGTTGGTTTTAAAGGCACATTTAACACAGTATTGCCTAGAGCATGCCTAGGAAATAGCAGCTAATTGCCCTTCCCATGGACACTCTGAGCCAGCAGACCGGGGATGGCCTGAGCGCAGAGCAGTTTTAAAAAGTTGGGAGGGGGGGCTAGGCACATACTCTAACCTTAAAAGTAATTAGAATTTGTGCCTCAATCTCTGAGTCTCAGATATTGAATATTGCATTGCATTTCCATGTGCATGTGTGTCATTTTGTTAAATTTATTAATATAGTACTAATCTGCTAACACAACCGACAACGAAATTTTGTTTTTGGGCCGCCGCCATGTCCCCTGCTGCGCGGGGACCTAGGCACGTGCCTCGCGTGCTTATGCCTTAAAACGGCACTGCCTGAGCGGGTATCGAATCCGCAACTCCCTGCCACTGGATTAAGAGTCCGACGTTCAACTATCTGACCTTCAGCGTCTCCCTGATATATGCATAAAAGCGGTAATACAATAAATCATAAGATTGTAAACTGTCAATTAACACTTGCAAATAATTTCAGCCTGACATGTTTTCGGTTTTTTCTTTATTTTTATTTTTTTATTTATTTATTTTTTATTTTTTTAATAATTGTCAGTATGAACTATTGAAAGCTTATCATCAGCTGTAAGGATGATGGAGACAGGTAGGGGTTGTCATACATTGGTTACCTCTGATAATGGTAAGTTTTTGCAGCTCATGGAGGACTGATTTAAAAGAGAATGAAATGGAAACTGCCCATCCCTTCTTTACAACTGCATCCAAAGTCGATCTAGTTTCAAAGAATATTCTTCCTTCTCTTCTAATATTTTTTTTATAGAAATACGTTTTCACATTTAAGATTAAACATTAGTCTACTATTCTGTTTATAACAAAAACAAACAAACGAGAAAATGAATAACACAAGGAAAATGAACAGCTATTTGTTTATCTAAATATATGGTTCATTTACTGTTTGTTTATTTAAATATATGGTTTATTTACTGTTTCTTTATATAAATATATCGTTCATTTACTATTTGTTTATTTGAATATATTATTCTTTTTCTGTTTGTTTATTTAAATGTATGGTTCATTTTTCGTACTGAGCAATCCAATTTCATTTTTTAATTCGATATACGACCTCTCTGGTGGCCTAGTGGTTAGAGCGTCCGCCTCGGATGCGAGAGGTCATGGGTTAAAACTCCGGCCGAGTCATACCAAAGACTTATAAAAATGGTACTAACCGCAGCCTAGTTAGGTCCTCGGCATTAAGAGGTTAGTGTTAGGACTGGTCGGCTTAGTGTCAGGATAATATGACTGGGTGGAACATCATGTTACGTGTCTGCGGCATGATGCCCCAGTGCCGGACATTACCATAAACTGCCACACTACAGACATCGTAGCGATATGACTGAAAAATTTTTAAAGCTAGGCTACAAATTCAAAACACAACCGCCCCTAAAACACACAATGATGATATCAATCGCGGCTTTAATCATCGGTATCAACGCCAATATTTCCTTGGCATCACTTTCCTATCAAGCCTGCCATCTTAATCGTTCATGCGCAGCATCAAATACAGTTTAGTTTTCTTTGAGATCAGGAACATTATATTCTTTAAAAGCAATTCAAAGGTGAACATTAAAAGTTCACAAGTCTGCGTACTTTCAGAACTTTCTATTTTACATTTTTAAACACCGAGATCCGATGATGGATCTAAGCTAGTACGTAAGCTCTACAAGATTTACACTTATAATCACTGTATGGCAAAAGACAAATATATATCTTTTCTACTCACCATTTCAAAACTCCGATAGAGTAATAAAAACACCCAGAAGAACAGTAGACACAAATAACTTCTTCGAGCTTCAGTTTTGTATGCCAAACTTTTAAAATCTTAGTCGCGTACAAGTCATAAACATCAAATTGGTTATGATCATAGCGTGACTGGCTTTCAATTCACAGGGGAACAAATTTCATTGTTTTGTTGTATAAGACATGGTAGGAAATTTGTTAAATTCAGTTTAAGCATCATAAAGACTGCATGCTATTTATTTATCTATTTATTATTCATTCGCTCTGACTGCAATCTTTAATTTTTAACTAATCATATATACATCTGAACTTAGTATCTTAAGAATTGTAGTGTTTTCAAAATATTATAACTATTATGTCATCAAAAGGTGAATGTACATGTATATTAGTATATTTTGAAAAGAACTGGACGAAAGTTTCATTTGTCCACAAGTATTGTATTTTTTAAAACAACATATTTCAACATGATCGTCTACAAACATTAAAAAATTAAGGTATGAACAGAAGTTTAACTTCGTTTTTAGTAGGGCATACGTCGTGCAAGGTTAACTTTCAATTCACCATTTCTTATGCTTTAGAATAAAATCTAGTTACAAAGCGGAAGTTCGTCTATTTCTATCGAACGATTAGTTCAATTGTTTAAATAATGTTAATTTTCCAGTTTTGAGAGTAAAAAAAAAAAAACAAGAGCTCACAGAGAAAATTGTGGGCAAAATCAAACAGAGTGAAAGATACATGAGCTGACTCCAGTCTTGTTTTTTTTATACCCAGATAATGATAGTTGCAGGGTATGTTAGTTTTACATCATCTATCCGAGTGGGCGGTTGGACTGAACAGGGTGCGTCCATTTCCGTTTCCTAGTGATAGCCTCCTTACCAATATTAATGAAAATATTTCACCACTACTTGATAAAGGTGTATCCTTAACACAAATGAAGAAAAATGTAGAAGATAACCTAAGTTGTAGACAACAGGATTCAACAAAATTTAGTACTTTTGCTACACCTATCCTCAAACGAGACCTATTTTTTTGGAGGTTGGAAGTTCTAATATCAATGTCACTATTGCTAGACGTATTTTTTTCCTGTGCATTTTAATTCTGAATGACAACTTAAGTTCAAGATAAAAGAATTTAATTTAGGTATCAGTAGCTCAAATGTCAAGGTCTCGTTGTCATGCATGAGCGCCATCGCACATGGGGTACCTACCCCACTCCACCCACCCACCCACCCCGATTTCACCATCTCGGCATGTTTTGGCCTTCATCCGTAAAACGTATTAGTTCCCCCCCCCCAAATTCTGCGGGCACACCTGCTGTCCCCTCAGAACACAACTGTAATGCAAAAAAAGGTATTGACCTTTGTCAATTTTGTTTTGCCTGTCGTGTATGAATGGACAGCTGTTTGGACAGTTAGGTGCTTGACTGGTTTGATAGCCAGGTCTGGCAACGTACCTGTGAAGGACCCGGTGTAGCTGAGTGAAGGCACTCGTCTGAGTCGTCTTTACAGGTTATTCACATATATCACCTCTGTCCGCTGAGTTCTAGTCTCGGTTCCACCAACATTTTTATATGGGAAAGCCTGCCAGTAGCTTCCATTGAGTATGTGATTCTTTCCGGGTTCTTCCTTCACCAAATATACTGGCCGTTATGTTTAGCCAGTCTTTTATGTGCTGAAAAAGAGGCGTAAAACCAAACAAAACCAAACCAAGTCTTACCGGTACATGCGCAACCATCTGGTTTAAAAATCCTCTCTTGATACAGATTTTTCAACAGCGTTTATTTTCTGGAGAATAACTTAAGCACAATACCTAAGGATTTTTTTTTCTTTCCAAACATTATACATGTACTCACGTTTACCCAATAAAGACCACTGTTGATTTGTCGGTGTATATATTGTGGATTAAGTTCGTTCGTTTGAGTGATCAAGCAGGTGGCCGCACGCCACAATTAATTTTCCTATATAATGTCTGCTGTCGTTTGTCTGTACTGAACGTTCCACTGTGTCTAAATGATAATAAATCATGGGTTGATTTAAAGTGTCTTCAAAGATGAACTCACTGTAGATATATTGTCCTTGGTTCTGGTGTTATTTCAGAGACTAGTATGCAAACAAAGCAGCGGGAAACTGTTACCGATTTCACTTCCGAATCAGCGCTTATGCTTCATCATTCACTGTGCGCTGTCGTCAAAATACTCTAAGACAACCACATCATAATGCTTATATTCTACAGAATAAACCATTACCTTTAAAATAATACCAAGAATGCATAAATCTAATTCGAATGTCACAATCTAAATGAGAGAGTAAAGATACCTCTAAAAACAGATTGAGATTACATTCGTCGAATATCCGTTCTGGTTCCCGAAGTATATCTTATTTTCTAGTGACAGATTTCAGTTTGATTTGTTACTTGTGTTTCCCTTTTCCGTGAAAACAAAACATGATTTTAAGGTCAGAAATTATATTCATAATACACAAAAACAACTAACCTTCTTGAGCAAAATACCATATACCACAGTCTCATCAGAATGAAGACGTAGTTTTCAATAAGTACATCTGACAGGCAGCAATACGAAGTCACTCTCTGATGACCATTGCGATTCATCAATTAGATTACAGTTTTCATACTGCCGAAAGTGGCAAACATCGTTTGGAGTATATCGTTCCTAGCAAAAAACTACATCCAATTTACATCTCCATTTTAACAGAAACATAGCTTGGTACATTTTTTCATACCTAACAATTAGCAAATAAAATATAAAATTCTCTCTCTCTCTCTCTCTCTCTCTCTCTCTCTCTCTCTCTCTCTCTCTCTCTCTCTCTCTCTCTCTCTCTCTCTCTCTCTCTCTCTCTCTCTCTCTCTCACACACACACACACACACACACACAGAGCAACGCTTTATATCTGATATGTTAAGAAGATCATGGTTTTAAAGTTATGTGCCATTTGTGATATGCTGTTCATACCTTTATAATATCTTTTTTTGACAGTAATCAAAATGACTCGCGAGATTGAAATATATGATGGGATTTAAATATTTTTGTTGGATAAAGCAAAGTAAAAGCTGTTAGGAGCCGTCGCCTACACCCTGTTTGTAAGTGTGACATTTGTAAAATATACAGACGTATAATGTGATTAACATGACATCTCAGCTATCTACCATTCATAGCAACCGAGATATAAAAAAGGACTATTAGAATAGTTTAATAAATCTCCCCTAACGTGTTTCTTTTGTGATTAAAATCATGTTATTTTCTGTATTATAACTATGTATCTTTTCAAGAAATCAATTACCTTCCCAGCATGGAGATCTTGCAACGTTGAATTCAAACGATTGCACTCCGGTGACGATATTTGATAACAATTAAAACCACTTTTAATGCTCATCGAAGATTAGGTAACATATCATCAGAGAAAAAGAATATATTAAAATGCTTTCAAATTTCTTTGAACCCTTTATTCTAGCAGTCCATCGTATCGCTTTTATTAAGTTACAGAACAGGAACACATGTGCAAGATAAATGTTAACAAGAACTTGCATAAGGAAATGGCTTCCATGCTTATGTACGACCGGTACGAGCATAACATTTGCCAGAAACTAAAATAAAACCTATTGGTAGGAAATTAAAAATAATTTGAGCATGACATGAATTTAACACATTTGATGGATGAATCATGGCAATCATGATTGACGAGGTGCAAAACAAAAGCCAACCAGTCCAGAAAACAAATTGACGTTCAGGTACATCAGAAGCTTTGAGGGAACTATATTAGTGAGAATAATGAAACCAGGAATAATTTATGGAACAAGTTAAAAAAATTATATGTTTCCAGATCCTTGCAGCAGCTAGTTTATTCCATTGTTCAACTACATTTTCAACCTCAATGGTCGCTGCACACAATTTTCAGACTAAATTTATCATGTAACACCAAAAACTTTGGTTACTAAGTGATATTGATAATGACGCTTCTCACAAATCATACTTATCAAAACCAAAGGAAATGCCAATTTGTATTTCCTCGGTCTTTTCCATTGCGTGGTAGAAGAAAGTTTTGGTTGTGTTTTGTTAGTTAAACACTATTTGCCAGCACATGATGGCCGGTATATTTTGTGAACGAAGATTCCGTGAAAACCCGGTGAAGAACCACAGACCTACTGGCAATTTTCCTCATGTACAAGCTGGTTTACCGAAACACTAACCCGCACGGGCAGAAGTGAGATGTCATTGATCTGTTAAGATAAGCGCCTTAGACCACTCGGCCACCCGAGGATATTCCAAAAATACCATTTCATGGAGACTTCGGCGAACTTCGTAATTTGCTCGGAATTTTGATCACGTGGCGGGTGGTCAGCTGACCGCAATATCCAATCGATAGCTGGTGGTCAAAACAAAGCGG